AAAAGTTGAGAAAAGCAGATTATTTATTTTTCTTCAAGATAGATAGATCAATTTGTTCTTTAAAGTAATAAAAATATGTCAAGGTTTCACCTTAAGTCGTTCAATTAAAATGATAAATATCGAATCCTGATAGTCTATTGAAAATATTCGAAAATTTTTTTATTTTATTACCATACATCAAAAAAAATGCAAAAAGAAGAACAATACTTTTTCATTTGAACGTGTATGAAAACTGAATTTGTAATATAGAAACAAGACAAGTTAAAAATTGTATAATAAGAATTAGACGTAAAATCTGCTGCATACTTTTCAAATATGATAAATAATTTGTAGATTAAGCAAGAAGAAAGAAGTGCCAGGAAGTGACATCTTTCAAGTATAAAAAAAAACTTTCATTCTTCTTCAAACATCACTGAACACATTTTACATTACATTCATGACAAAATATTTTGAATAATAACTTAAAATTAATCAACATTAATTATTCTCCTTTTTATTGCATATCGAAGAATCTGGTAGAGAGATACATTGAAAAAATCAACTAAAATTAATGCATATTTTTTTGGTTCTTCTAGTTTGTTCGAAAATTAAGAAATTGTCAATCCTGTGTTACCCTGGATGTTAGATTTCTAACATTTCCTTTTTACTATATAACCTTTTGGATTTCTCAGAAAATTGCAATTATTCCTTTATATATATAATTTCAGTTATATCAATCAGATGTATAAATGATGAATACATTTAAAAAAAAGAAAAAGTCTCTATTATTATCGCATTCTTTTAGAAGTTTTGGTAGATATACATCGAATGCTTTTAATTTTGAACAATATTTCTTTAACATGTGGTCAAATCAGAATAACGTATTATCTATTTTGTCAGACAATTATTAACGTGTCAATATCTTTATCACTTGTATCTATACAAACAGCTATTTTAATCATTCGAACGTTAAAACAAATCGTTGATTCTTTTTTTTTATTCAATCAACAATTTCATAATTCACATTGTCTATAATGATGATGATGATGATGCAGTCCACTTGATAATCCACTCTGTTTTCTTTTCCTATTGAAAATTATATACTCAACAACGTGCTGTAAATCAGTACTCATATTTCTGGTATATTAACCGATTATATGTTCATTGAACCATTATTTAAGATCATATACAATACAATAAAAGTCAAAGGAAAAACAAGTTTTTGATTTGAATAGAAATAAAGTTTAAAAATTTAACTAAAAGAGACACACGCGCATGACAAGCTATGCAGCTGCCTTCGATTGTTTGATTTTCATGCCGACAACAGAGTGTTGATATGGTCACGCAGAGAGACTATAAAGACAAGAAGAAAAAAAAAAGAAATGACGATCATTCCTTTTATTCTCTTTGTGTTTTATTATAAGAAAAAGCATTTGTATAGCGCGATACATTTGTATAGTTTTTCTTTTCTTTTTTTTTTCTAATACAAAATTTGATTAGCCGTTGTCGACTATTGACAAGATGTTTCAATGCACTTATCGTCGAGATCAAACGATCTAATTGGAATTTACAAATTTAATTTCCAAAAAAACTATTTTTTTTTGCTTGTCCTAATCATAAAGCAAAAAAAAACTATTTGTTTCTTTTTTTAATTTAGTCGAAGGTGTGAGAAAAGATCATAATCAGATTGATGATCCAGTTGTTATTCAACACAATTATGTGTTAATCCTGATTGGAAAAAAATAGTGTTGATAGTCATCTTGATTAGGATGCTAACCATTGAAAATCGATGAAATACATATACACTCATACTAGTCTCATTTTAGACACACCAGGGTGTCTACATGTATTTTGTTGTTGTGCATACCGTTGCAAATAACAGTCATATTGAGTGATTAGTGTTCAAGTGCGCATGAAGGAGGGACACGAATGAGTATATACATCTATACTTCTCAAGCTTGCATCATATATACGAAAAAGAGAATTATTTTAAAACATTTTCTTTTCAGGTGAATGAACTGCTCAAATCATATATGTTTGATTTTGATTGGATAAGAAAAAAGAAATCGATTAAAAAATGTATGCAAAATGCTGATAGAAGAAAAAAACATATTAAGAAAAGAATTCACCAATCAGTCAGAATTCTACGACCAATGAAAAATCAGTAGACATTTTCTTTTTTTTTTCTTCTTTTTCTCTTATAACTATTAAAAAGACACAAATGGAAGTGCGCGCATGCGATTTGTGCATTATTCATTCGAACCAGTCAAGAGACCATTCATCGTAGTGCGTTACTACTTTTGCCTCTTTTTTTTCTTCTCCTTTTACATCGTCATTTTTACTTAACCCTGCTGTTGCTCCTTTCTTTTTTCTTTCTCACTCGTGTTCGTTTTACTGACACGAGAGTCTGCAGGTGGTTCTTCCTTTTTTTATTCCAAGTGTGTGCATATTACATTCGGGCATCAGCAAGTTAAACAAAGATAAGATCATCATACAGGTAATTGGAAATTATGGTCAGTTCAGTCGTAATGAAGATGTTCTTGTTGTCCAACTGACACCAAGTCTGAGATCTATCAAGAGTTATTCTGAGAAAAAAGTGCGACAGTTCATTATATAAATCCATAACATATAAGCTTTTATTACTTTTTTTTAGATATGATAATGTCAAAATCTAAGAATAATGAATTAAAATTTTCTATACAAAATCTCATCGAAACAAAAACAACATCATGTGAAAAAAAAGAAAAAGATCTTTTAAATTCAACAACAGATTGTTCTTTAAAACGTGCTGTTATTCAATCTGAATCATCAATTCCACGTCCAATTCCAATACTTAAACCAAAAATTTCTCATCCATGTTGGTCATTTCTATCTCAATTTCAACCAAAAAATCCAAATGGAAATCTTCCATTTAATTCTTCATTAATATTTCTAAGTAAAATGAATCAAGTTTGGGAACAAATTCAACGTACACAAATCTCACCGTCAATAACAACAACGACAACAACAACAGAAAATGATGATGTATCCGATGAAGATATTTATATGGATGTCTCATCATCATCAGTACGACATCATACTGAACTTGATGATGATGATGAAGACGATGATGAAGATGAAGAAGAAGAAGAAGGTGAATGTTCAACTAGTACTGGTGATAAACATAATACAACATCGAACAGTGACGAAAATGATAAACTTAAAACATATCCATGTACACAATGTGGCAAAGTACAATGAAAATTTTGTCAATTCTAATTCAAAAGATTTTTTTTTAGATATTTACTGCTCAATATAATTTAGTGAGACATATGCCAGTGCACACAGGTATTCGTCCATTTATTTGCAAGGTATGTGGTAAAGGTTTTCGACAAGCATCAACACTTTGTCGTCATAAAATAATTCATACATCTGAAAAACCACACGCTTGTCGTATTTGTGGTAAAGCATTCAATCGTTCATCAACATTAAATACACATATGCGTATTCATCAAAATTTTAAACCATGGGTAAAAATTTCATATTTTTCTTTTATTTATTTATTAATTTTTTTTCATTTAAGATTTGTGAGTTTTGTGGTAAAGGATTTCATCAAAAAGGTAATTGGAAAAATCATAAATTAACTCATTCATCTATAAAACAGTATCAATGTTCAATCTGTTCAAAAGTAAATAATTCTTATAATTTTATTTATATATATGTATTCAATTTAGGCTTTTCATCAAATATATAATTTAAAATTTCATATGTATACACATTCGGAAATTAAACCTTATTCATGTATGATATGTTCGAAAGGTTTTTGTCGAAATTTTGATTTAAAAAAACATGTCAGAAATGTTCATGTGAGTAGTACAAGTACAAATATTAAAAAGCAAATGAATACAAATCATTGTGATGACGATGAAGACGACGAAGAAGATGATGAGGATGATGAAGATTGTCACTAACAATATTTTCAGTTGTATAAAAACAAGAAATCCTTTTTTTTCCTTTGTTCATTTAATCTTGTTTCGTTTTTTTTGTATATGTGTGTGTGTGTGTGTGTGTACTGATCAGGAGAAAAATAAATATATTTGCGTGTGTATATGTATTAATTGAAGTCACTTAACCAATTAATCGAGTCCGAACACGCGACAGACGAAACAAATGGTCTAATGTTGCTTACATTCCATGCCTGCCGAGAGGAAACTGAAGCGATAATTAGGGAGGGTGGAGATTTCTTTTTCTAACATACGTTTTTGTGTATTGTATTCTTAACAACTCATCCTTCCCCTCCAATTATTCAATGCATGTTTCTTTTTCTTGTTATATATGTTTTTTTCTCAAATCACAAAATTTTTGTTAAGAGAAAAAGAAGATGCCCACAGGCATAAAGTACATCCGTTTACTTTCTTTTTCTTTCTCGTCTTTTAGGATAGAATAGGAAAAGGATGAGACTTTTTTAAATGGAAAATGAACATATTAAAAGATGACACGTTGTTCGCGTGATAGAAAATTCTCTTCTAAAAAAATACTTACTGGTCATTTTAAAATTAATGTTTTGATTCCTGTTAGAACAAAAAACGGAATACATAGACAGATAAGTCATATCAATTCTTTATTTCTAAGCTAATCAGTTACAAATAACAAGAAAAAGAAAAAAAAAAACTGTTAACCACTTGTCACTTGCTCCGGATCCCTATAGTGTATTTCAATATGATCATCATTTGTTTCTTTCTGATCTTATTCTTTACAATCGCATACGAGTGGTACTCATAATCGATGAGAATACAACAAAAAAAAAAGAAATCAGTTCCATATTGTACACTCATTCGACATTCTTTTGATTTGAACACAATTTTTAATAGGATCTTTTGCTTTGCCTCATTCCCACTTGACAACACTCAAACAAACGAGGACATCTTAAAATGCATGTACGCTTGATCATTAGTCAAAACGACGATATAAATTGGCTCCCTTGTGATTTTCATCATAACTAACATTCAATTGGTTGAATAAAGATGATGACGAAGAAATTTTTATTTTTTATTAAAAGCAAAATAAGTCCAAAATGTTTGAAATATTCTTCCCACAATTCTTTCTTCATCTGTTAATTGATGATTTTTTCTAATATTTGAAAATTTTTGAATAACAAATGATATTAAAAAATATTCTATAATTTTTGCTGAAAAAAGCCAAAGAAAAAATTGCCATAGCGCTCTTGTTATTGTTATTGGAATAAAATTATCCGTTGATGCTGCATCTTTAATCGATGAAATTAAAACCACACGAAAAGCAACAAAAAATGTTCGAAAATTTTCTTCATTGGAAAAAAGTAAACGACCAATTAATGTAAATATAAAATAATTCATAAATGCAAAAAATAATATAATTAGAAATCCTTGAGATGATTTATACATTGTTTCAGCAAGTAAATATGTTTTCGGATTAAATTTAAGTAAATAAAGAAATTTAAATATTGCAAATAAACATATTAAACCAATTAAATGATTTAATATTGTTTTATTAATAATTAATACACGAAATGATAAAAATAAATTATGAATATTTAATGATTGAATTAGATTATTTAATTGAAGAACTTTATAATCAAAATAGAATAATAAAAAATAATAACAACAAAGAATTAATAATATACCGTCGATAATATTCGGTAATGTACGAAGAAAAGAAACAAAACCATATAAACCAAAATTTCGAGTAAATTTTGCTATACCGAATAATTTTGTTGTAAACTAAAATTTTATTTTATTATAAATCAATAATGACTTTACATTTATGATTAAAGTTTATATATTTTAAGTTGTGTTGTTAATCCTAGTAGATCATTTTTGACTTATACTTAAAAACGGAGTTATTGTATTGCTTCCTGACAGTATTTTATCTAGGCTTCTTTTTTCGGACGGACGAATCGAAATTTAGGGTGGGCGACGCTCACCCGCTCGATAAAACGCTGTTTCCTTGTTTTTAAATGTACCTGCACATCATATGATACTTCTGAATCTAGGAAGATATTCATTTCCCTTTTTTTTAATTATTAGAAGCCATTGATGCGATCATATTCACCAACATATCTCAATTGGACCTACTCAATTAAACGTATGTTTTGTATTACTTGTTCGAGATAAAGAAAAACAGTCGCTCTCATAACTTTTTTCATCAAATCGGATATGTCAATACTATACATAAATCTAAATATTACTAGTAAAGTGCGTAAAAGATATTTGGACGTATTAGAGTTAATTGTTTTTATTACCATCTAAATCGTAAGTATAACTAATCAATCAGAGTGGAACCGGACGAATTTTTTTTCATTCGGTCCGGCCGGACTACTTTCGACGTCAATGCGGCAAAAATTCGGCCGGACTATTTCTGACGTCAATCCGGCAAAATTATGAATTTATACGAATATTTTTGTCACAAGCTCTTTTTCAACTAAAATATATACGTATAACAATTCCTAACATGATATTTCGAAAAAAAATAAATAAACATTAGTTTTGTAAGAAAAATATTTATAATACAAATATTATTTTCTAATTTTATGAACCGGTAAAAATTCGGTTTTGTCCGGACCGGTTCCAACTCTGTAATCAACTAAATAAATTCTACTAGCTAGTATTATATGTCTTGTTTCTATTTAGTTAATTGTGACTTACAATGAAAAATAATAAAACAGTAAATAAATAATGTGTAATAACAAATGGAGTTTCATTATTATTATTATTATTATTTATGTTTGGTATTTCTTGAGTAGTATTTTGTACTTCTATTTCATTATCAATTGTTGTTAATGTATAATCTGATACTTCAATAAAAATATCTTTTTCAATAATTCCGTACTGATTTTTTTCCATAGTTAATATAAATGATATCATTGATGTTGTTTGTGGAGAATATAAATTTCCTTCAATTATGAGAACTAAAGTTTTTTCATCTAACCAATTATCTAAATATTTTAATATATAAACAATAAATTCCAATAAATTTCTTTTGTCATACATTTATTTAAATCATAATATTTTCGTTTACGATTACAACGTTCAACCTTAAACAAAATACATAAAAATGTTTTATATTCCGTTAAACTATACCGTTTCTTTTGCTGATAAATGTAACATAAAATACCATGGAGATTCGTATGTTGTATAAAATTTGATTATTCGTTTAGATGCTAATGCAGACCATATTGACGTATAATTACAAATATCTTGACAAAATTCATTATTCCAACCAGAACATTTTCGTTGACCATTAAGAACAGATAATTTATTATCCATTAAATCATTTCCATCAACAGAACATGTCGGTGGTAGTAAAGGATAGAATAAATCATTGATTTTCTTATGACAATCTTTACGTTCAACACGTATCTGACGTATACGAATACTTTTACTTAGATACAATGGTGAATCAGCTAAAGATTTCAAGTTAAATTTTCATGAAAAGAAAAATCAATATAAGACATACGTATTGGAAAATAATTACATGTATCTTTTTGACAAGAATAATCTTTATGTTGAAGAAAAAGACGATTTTCAATAAAATAATTTATCCAATCCTAAGAATATATAATTTAAATGAAAGTATTCAAAAAACAAAAACTACTAACCATTGTCTCCGGTATATGATCAATATTTTGAAAAATATCTTCACGAACAAGTAATTGTAATGTATATTGTCTCATAGTTAAATGTGTTTCAAGATCTCGAGATCTAAAATCATTTAAATACGGAACTAGGTTTAATGTTTAACTTATAAATGAAAGCTCACGTTTCTGCAAATACCATGATAATAATAATCATAAATAAAATATAACCGAAAACATCTCTAACAGCACGAATAATTGATGATTCAAGAAAACGTTCTCGAATACGTTCACGTAATTGTACATCAGTTAATGTTAAATCTCGATGGAGAGTAAATGTATGATTTAATTGATTTTGTTGAATATCATTTGTAGATGAAACTGGAATCTTAATACGAAAAAAAGATTATTTAATGTTCGTTTTTCGAATTTTAGTTTACTTGAACAGTTGTTGAAATAAATTTTTCTTCATCTGTCATATGTAAAAATGTTGCATTCAGTAAAGATATTAATAAGATAAAAATTAATTCAAATACTAATGTAAATAATATAGTTATAATATGAATAAATAGAATAGTTGATGTTAAAAAATAATTTTCAATTTCGATAAATGTTTTCATTGTTAAATATATACAAACAATGGATATTCCACCAGGAATTATGAATAATCCATAATAAATAGATGAATAGAATCGAAACATATTCAATGATGGTTGATCAGGTGCATTTGGCCTAGATAAGAAAATCATTTTTCGATAGAAAATATTAATCAATAAAAAATTAACCAATTAATTTTTAGATTAATAGTAGGTATTATGATGTCTTTGTCTGGTATACTTGTTTGAGAACTATGATCAGTTGATAATGAATGATCATCATTGTCATCATCATTGAATATTTCATTTGATTCAGGATGTTTTGAATATACTGGTGTTTGAAAAACAGGTTTTTTGAACTAAAAATATTCATTCATATTTGTGTTTTTGTAATTTAAATCAAGAAATTACAGCTCGATTTTTCCATATTTGAGAATTTTGCGATAGATTTAAAAGTGATTTATATTGTTCAATTTTAGTATCTGATTGTGAAATATTTTGTTCATTTTCTCCTATTGTACTAATACTTAATCGATGTTGTAAATCAAATTTATGAATAAATTCAAATTGTTCAATATCTTGCCGATAGAGATTTAAATCAGCAATAGTTGATGCTAATGTATATAATGTTGAATGTAAATTATCAAAATGTTCATAATTTATTCTAGCATTCAATAATTGTCGATAAAGTTCAAGTCGATTTGTTAACCATGTTAAACACCAAATAAAAATCGGTGTTAAAAAAGCAGTAATACAACTAAGAAACAGAGCAATGAAAATTGATGGAAGGAAATTGAGACGAATTATCTAGAAAAAAACAATTTTAAAAATGTTGTTTATAAAGTAAAATTAAATTGGAGACGCGAACGAGGTGAATACATAGTAGTGGCGTCGCCAGAAAAATCTGAGTAATTGAGCGCCATTCCAAAAAACTTTGAAAGTTATTTATGGCAGTTCTTTGTCTTTTTTAACAACTCACACACGCAGAAAGATTGATACAGTTTATCCTGAGCTCGAATTTTTATGTTAATAAGAAATATTTAAATATAATTAATTAACCTGATAAATTTCCGTCCAACCGGATGCAACAAATGATTGATCAACTAGGAAAAGAAATGATGGAAAAATATAAATACATCGTTGATTTGAGATTAATTTTCGACATGAAATAATAATTAATTGAATCAAATAAAGTTGAATAATAACTAACGAAAAATAAATATGTAATCGATAGATTCTTGATAATGTATTTATTTTTTGTTTTTTAAAAACTGAATTTAATAAATAATAATGATAATAAAGCCAAGAATATGTCGAAAGAAATAAATGACCAAATGCATATTGATCAACTTCTTGTGCAACATAAAATATCTCATTAATTCTATTTAAACCTTTTCGTAAGGATAACCATGTATAACAAGAAAAATAATAGGTATGATAATGGTTATAATCATATAAGATACAATGACGAATATAAAAATCTGATTGAAAATTGATTTCATTATGCCATATATTTATAGCGACAATTCGTCCTATATCAATAAAAGAAGTAAGTAGAAATTGATCAACACTACCACGTTGAAAAACATTCGAAATGTTTAAATTTAAACAATGCGATATATCATGACATGTTTCACCAATTAAACGAATATAGATTTGAAAATCTTTTGTTGTTGATTGTTGAAGACCAGTAAAAATTGTTAATTGATAAAGATGACTATTTACAGCACCAATATGATTATCATTAACAAAATATACTAGAGGTTTCTAGAATTTTAAGAATAAAAATATGTAAATTATTTGTTTTTTTAAATACATACATAATCGTCCGATGTATCTTTATAAATTGCATAGAGACCAAAAAAAAGAAAAATTAGAAGTAATACAGAAATATAGATATAGAAATGAAGCCAAGTTTGTGCATTTAATTCATATTCAACAAGAATAGGTTTTGGTTGACATAGAACAAAATATCTATTAATCGCAGATTGACAACGACAAGTAAGATGAGCACCTAATAGTAAATTATCTCCTAAGTGGAGTTCATTGTCATTGATCAATTGACATTTATCGATTTGTAACTAAAGATAAACGATCAAATGCTAATTAGATTTCTTCTTATAAAATAATTTTACAATGAGAACTCCGAAGTAAACAAATCTTATACCTTTGAATAGTAATTTTCATAAATATCCATATCAAATGAATAACAACCAGTTTCAATGATCAGAAATTGTCCAGTTCTTTTTAAATTTCGAATAGATACATGTTTCGATGTTATTTCAACTTGTCCACATACAAATGACATTGGTATAATTGGTATTGAATAAACATAATAATTATCTTGCCATAAATCAAAAGAAAGCGTATATTTCAAATTTTTTTCGTAGATTCGTTTTGATTTCAAACATGAATTATTATAAGCAATATCGATAGTAAATAAATATTTTTGTGAATTTGGTAAATCAATAAAAAATAATGAAATATTTCGAGCTAATTTTGTTGTATTCATTTGAAATGAAAATCTATGTGAATAGAAATTTTTTCCAATACGAATTAATAAGATTTTCGAAAAATATTTTTGTAATATATTCGATGTATTTAAATAGACTTGTTCAAGTGAAAAAAATATATGTGATATAGAATTTAATGTTAGAGAATTATTTGATTCAATTGAAAATAATTGACCAAGAAGATAATCAGTTGAACTTTCATGATTAAGTGGAATATATTCTTGAGGATAGTATAAGATATTTAATTGATCTACAATTAAGATAGAATATAATTATTCATAAAGAAAAAAGTATAGCGGATGTATACCTGTTGTAAATGTTCGACTCTTCATATTATAACGTGGTAAAAACTGATCAGATTTAAATGCCCAACGTTTGGTAACAAATGGTGCACTCATATTAACAATAAAATCGAGTAGACCATCATTAGTTCTATTTATTTGTGTAGTGGAAGATATATTGGATTTAAATTGTGTATGAATCATAACAAGAATTCGACTAATCATTTGATTAAATTCAAATAGACTATTCGTATCTGTTATTGTTGATATTGGCATTGATTCAAAATCATTTATATATATACGTAAATTATAACAAAGGTCAAGTACTTTCATTAGAAAAGAATATGATGTATCCGGTAAAGATAATGATATGAATTTAATTGTATGTCTATTTAAAAAAAAAGAGGTGAGAATCAAACATTTTTTATTATCATACCGAAGTAGATGATATGTTTGATAAGTAATTATTTTTGGATGCGAAGATAATTGAATTAACAAGGAAAAATAAGGATCAAGATAATTATTACCAGATTCAGGATAGAAGATTTTATATTTGAGCAATTGTGTTGATATCTACATAATAAAAAACGGACTTATTCTCTCTTCGCCATTGGCGAAATTCGGAAATCCCAAAAACCTGTCATCTATTAAAGTCAAATATCTGTTTTACTAGATTATTAATGATACTAACAATTGAATAGATTTTTTGTGAAAAATCTTTTGCTTTAATATAGAGTAATTCTTGATCGATATAATTTAGTATTAAACGATAATAATTAATAATACTAATTAAATATGATGTTTGATTAAGATTAACTAATTCTAAACGTGGATTAGTATGATCATCCAAAAGATCAAAATCATTTTCATATATATTTAAATATTCATTCATTAATCGAACTGCCTAAAAAAATTTTTTTAGTAAAAATAAAATTTATTTTGAACATTTTTTTATTTACACTAGAAAAATAATTCCATTCTAATGCAATATTCATTTTTGTAATTAATTTCTCAGTTAAATGATTCATCGTTAATTCATAACTTTCATTTATTGAAAATAATGATGAACTAATTTCTAAGAAAACTTTTTCACCATGTGGAATACCATAAATCTTCATTTGAATATTTGAATTCAAAATTTCATTTGTAACATATAATGGATTAAGTAAAATACGAATTTCTTCATGTTCTTAATTAACGAATAAAGTTTTATATAGAAATATAAACAGACTTACTATGTTTCGTTACAGCCCAAAGAATAATATCTGCACGTGTAGTAAAATTTGTACATTCAAGAGTGATTTCTTCATGATATGGATAAATATTCATTGGATTAATTAAACAAGAAAATGAACGAGATGTATTATTTTGATTTATTATATGAAAATTTGCATTAATAATAAATATTTCATTTTGATCATTAATACAATTGATAGATATTTGTTGAAATATATTAATAATTTGAAATCGAACTAATGCAATATCACGTGATAGAATTGTATGAGAATGAAGAATCGAAAGATTGAGTTGTTGAGAAATTTCACTAAAATTACATTTAACACAAAATAAAATTAATTCTGTTATTGATTGAGATACAAAATAATCTGTATGATTTGGAGATTGTTGTACACAATGATTTCGACATACGAGATGACATATTTGACTCTGATCAGTAATAACCTGATAATAACGAATGATGGTATTAATACTGTTAACCTCAGTTTTAAGTTCAATCATATGATCATAGAAATTTATTAGTTGATATGATTGAATTTTATCATAACTTTCATTCAGATGATTAATCCTAATTGAAATACAAAGATATTTATTCAATAAAATTCTGTTCATAGGGATTCCTGAATTTCGCTAGTTGGCGAAGAGACAGTAAGCCTCTTTTCAGTTTTCATATTACGACTGATATTATCATTTAAAATTATGAAAAGATATTAGGATTTTACCATTCATTATGTGGTAAATTTTTTAAAAGACGTATAAACCCAATAAATGCTATATTATCACCTTGAATTGGTATAAATAAACGTAAAGTTTCATTTAATACATGTCTAAGAAAAAGACAAAAAAGAAAATTTCATTTATTAGAAAACAATATCTAATTACTGATAAAGAGAAAATGAACATTGTTGAGTATTTAATATAGAGTATTTACATAGAATAATATCTATACGAAATCTTCTTATTACAGATTCATTTTTATAATTATCTTGTGTGCATAAAGTAAATTCTCTTGATGTTAGAGAATTTTTATTAGTACATGTTGCATTACGATAAATTTCCGTAGTATAAAATAACGAATTATTTTCAATGATTATCTAAATAATGAATTTCAAAAAATATTGAATTTATTCAAATATTTATTAATACTTGTTCAAAAATATGATCAATAAAATTGGTTGGTTTTATTATTTGTTCATAGGAAATTTGTTGTGTAAATAATGATAAATGGTTCGTAGTTATATTAATTATCTTACTTGAAGGCAGTGTTTTGTTTGTCAATCCTGATGTATCTATTTGTGATTGTATCATTTCTAAATGGCATGTATATTTATGTAGATGACATTTATCAGACATTAATTGTAAATGAAAAGCTGATAGATAAGTTTTAGTAGTAAGAAAATCATCGAAATAAATCAATGGTGGTTGTAAACATTGAAATGTTGGAACAAAAAAGTCTATATAAAAGCTTTTTTTTTATTCTTTTCTAGAAAACAAAAAATTATAAGAATTTTCATACGTAATGTAAATTGTTGTACTGTAATATTATTATAAATTTGTTGTCCTTCGATAAATTGAATTCCAGCATCATTAATTTTGATATCAAATTCAACCTTTAAGATGATTGTAAAAGAATTAAAAGATATTCATTGAGAATCAAGAGAGAAAGGCAAGATTCCAAGAATGAATACTTTCTTAGTACTTAGTTTGTTAGGTCAAGAATTACGAACTAGTTTTCATCGGACAACGCGACTGTTTTCGCTTCAGCGTTTGAGATTTAAAAGGAAAAAAACATACTCTGTAGATCATAAGAACAACTCAATATGTTTATATATCGATCGCATAGATAATACAATTAACTCCATTAATTACCCATTTTGAATAAATATTTTCATTTTGGGATAAATCCACTGAAAAAAATAAATTGTAATTGAATTATTTTCAAACAGAAAACTTTTTTAATTTATATTTACTATTCATAATAAAATTTTTCCAAATTGAACCTTTTTCATTCTCTGGTTGATCATACCATAACTGAGAATTAATTGGTTCGTAAAGAAAATCATAATTAACTATTTTAGTTCTATGCCATTGATGATCAATTTTCGAATATTTATTAGTATATGGTACACCATCAATAATAAATTCAAGTTTATATTTTATTGGTAATGACCCACCTTTGGAAATACAATCTGATGAATTAGTTTTACAAATAACTATGATAAATAGACTTGCATCCGCATGTATTTGATCATATTCATTTATAAATGGTCGATGAATATTTATACCAAATAAAAAATATAAATTGGATAATGAATTAAAATGATTTTCAATTTCATTATAAGTCAGTGATTTATTCATACATGTTCGATAATTTTCAGTTAATGTGAATACATTGTATATATAGATATTAAAGACAAATATGATGAATAACAGCTGTGTAATGGTTTGCATTATTGTGTTTAAGCTATCGCGCCATAATTGATGAACTGATTTCATGTGAAAATTTCGATGTAAAAAAAGGTGTTTAACTATATAGATCTATATTATTTTAATAAAGTTTCGGAATAAACATCTCTGAAAAAGTATGAAAATTATGTCTCTGATCGTTGTGTATTTACTATATTGTTATTGAGATGAGTTTATAGCTCGTTTTATTTTTAGAAACTTTCACCCACGCCCATCCCTTTAGGATTGTCGTCCTGTTCTGTAAAAATATTCAAATAAGTTTTATGAAAACTAAATGAATTCAGTTGAATTTTGAACGTATAGAATAATCGATTATATGAATTTATTGATAAGATAAAAAGCAAACCAACACTAAATGATATAAGCTGAATTATGAAATGAATTTGAGAATACATATTAGTTTAGATTAGTTTTTTCATTAAATGAATAATTGAACAAATGATAGGTAACACCAATGTAGAATGATAATTCACACAAGCATATGATGATTTACTTGTTGTTGCTAAAAGAAAAGATCAATTTTCAATTTTTTTTATCATAATTAATTATTTTGAAAAGTAAATCATTTTTATCTACTTGAAATAGTATACTGATCAGAAAAATGAATATTTAAAATCGTTCTAAGCAATTCAACGTTATTTATAAAAATTATCTTTTACTTACTGAATACAGTTGTTGTTGATGTAGATGAAATATCTAAATAAACAAATGAATTATTCAACTTAAAATATAAGTTCATACTATTTCAGGGGTGGGTGTGAATTCGAATATTCCATTTTAAATACACTCACATGCAGCAACTATCAAGATGATTTACAAAATAATACAAAATACTTACTGTAACGATCAAGCGTCATGACATTTGGACCAGATGTTTGAATGGAAAACTTTCCTGTCATATTTGGAGAAGATGTTGTCACCACTAATATGTACTTTGTGCCACTGTGAAGATAAACAATGAACTTGAAATCTTGAAAACTACATCTCTTATAGTCCTGTGAGAGTAGATTCTCGAAAGGATTCATTGGATTAAAATCATCCTGATAAATATCACTAAATGTATTTATAGTGCTATTACTAATCAGAGCATAGTATCCAGTTTCCATTACATTCATTCGTATAGTTTCATAATAATAATTCGATTTTCGGGCATCTCGAGAATCTGTTTGACTGTTTGTTGTCAGCTCTGATGAATACTTGAATTGTACAGCTGATGAATATGGTATTTCGATGACTGATGGAGAGCCTATGTGATGAAAATAAAAAGAACAGGTACGATTCGTGATAGATCCGAATTGACTGAGAGAAAGAGAAATCGTCTGGATGTAAGAAATAAAACTAAGCATCATAAGTCACCTCTTATATACCCTGAATATCGGAAAGAATGTCAAAGCTTTGCCTAGATTTCTCAAGACATGACTCTCTATAATATCATCCTTAATGAAATAATTAAGTCGTGAATGGAGAGTCACAACAAAATTTATGAATATTTTTGTGTCCTCGAATACTCAATAATGTATGTCATGATTGAATTTGGAATAACTTCTTTATTTCGAAAATTGATAATGCCCCAACTTTTTAGATAGGAAAAATTGTATATTTATAGTCTAAGTCTCCTACTATTTGTAATTTATTTCCAATCTAAAGTATGTAAAGATGTCTTATAGATTCATACAAATTAAGGATATGTTTATATTTTTTATCTTTAAATTGTATGCATATGTTAGCAGGATTTTTTTTAATTATAGAGACATTGAATGATTGGATATATTGCAACCAGAAGCGAAGTTTCTTTTTCATTTCACGACCACAAGCAGGGATTCATGCCGATTTGTATATTATTCACATCAGATTAGACATAAACGGAAACAGACCCACATACAAGAGGCATTCTTCCGATGCTATTCATAATATTCTGTTATTTAATCAGTTGAATGCACCTGTTTGGGTAAAGCTTTCATTTTATAGTACAAATGTCGTCTAACAAAACAGCTCTTTATTTGTCGATGTGGCAAACTCAACTACATACTCATACTAACGTTGATAGATACTCATTTAAAAGTTGTAGTACAAACACTTACTAATATTCCTGAGGTCGACATTGTTCGGACCAGATACGAAGATCGAAAATGCGCCTGTTATATTAGAATTGAACGTTGTTACAATCAATATATATGTGATACCGGCTTCGAGAGCAATTCTGAAGCTAGATTGATATGGTGCGCAGTTGACAGCATCGTATGAGAGTTGGTTTTCAAATGGATTGTATGGATTAAAATAATCTTTGTAAATAGAGCCATATGTGTCCATATCGCTTTTGCTGAAGAAAGTATAAAAACCACTTCTACGAACATTTACTTGTATCGCTTCATAGTTAGAACTTGAACTTGAACAACCAAGTAAATAGGTTGAACTATTCGTTGTCAGTTCTGATGCATAAACTGTTTGAACAACTGATGAAATAGCCGCTAACAAAAAAGAAAATCGATGCAATATTGTATCATAGGGAAATAAGTGTATACAATATGAAAGGTTACTTTCTCTCTCAGATACATTTACCAAAAGCCAAATAAAAATGATGTGAACGTTGATATAATTTAATATTTACACCCACACTCATCCTCAACCACTCATACCCATCATATTAGGAATCAACTGTAACAAACCTGAATTCATGAGAAATTGTTCGGATGCTATTCATAATATTCTGTTATTTAATGAGGTTAATGTAGCTGTTTATGTAAAGCTTTCTTTGTTATAGTATAAATATCATCTTACAAAACAAGTTTTTATTTGTGCATATGCCAAATTCAACTACATACTCATGCTAACGTTGACAGATACTCATTGAAAAGTTGTAGTACAAACACTTACTAATTTTCTTGAGATCAACATCGTCCGAACCAGATACAAAGATTGAGAATTCACCTGTCGCCTTGGAGTCATACGTTGTCACAATCAATATATATCTGACACCGGCTTCAAGAGCAATTCTAAAGCTAGACTGATATGGTGCGCAGTTGACAGCATCGTATAATAGTCGATTTTCATTTGGATTGTATGGATTAAAATAATCTTTGTAAATAACACCATATGTATCCATATTGCTTTTGCTGAAGAAAGTATAAAAACCACTTCTACGAACATTTACTTGTATCTCTTCATAGTTAGAAGTTGAACTTGAGCAACCAAGTAAATAGGTTGAACTATTCGTTGTTAGTTTTGATGTATAAGTTGTTTGAACAACTGATGGAGTATTCACTAACGAAAAAGAAAATCGATTCAATTTTGTATAATATGGAAATAAGTGTAAACAATATGAAATTTTTATTTTGTGTCTCGGATGAATACATCGAAGGCAAATGAAAGTAATATGAATGTTGATATAAGTGAGAATCACTATACTCTCACTTTCAAGGTGGTAGAAAACACTATGTGATATCGCGTGTGGGTGTAGGATAAATCTAATATTTACACGTACACTCATCCTCAACGACTCATACCCATCGCATTAGGAATCAGCTATAACAAACCCGAATTCATAAGGAATTGTCCGGATACTATTCATAACATTCCGCAATTTCATGACATTAATGTAGCTGTTTATGCAAAGCTTTCTTTGTTATAGTATATATGTCATCTTACAAAACAAGTTTTTATTTGTGAATATGCCAAACTTAAGTAAGTACTCATACTGACACCGATAGATATTCATTTAAAAGTGGTAATGCAAATACTTACTAATATTCTTGAGATCAACATTATCTGGTCCAGATACAAAGATCGAGAATACACCTATTATATTAGAATTAAACGTTGTCGCAACCAATATATACGTAACATTAGTCTCAAGAGCAATTGTGAATCTAAACTGATCTTGACCGCAGCCGTGATCATTCTCTAAGAGTCGATTTTTCATTGGATCAGATGGATTGAAATAATCTTTGTAAATAGAGCCATATGTGTCCATATTGCTGTTGCTGAAGAAAGTATAAAAACCACTTCTGCGAACATTCACTTGTATCGCTTCATAGGAAGAACTTGAACTTGAACAACTAAGTAAATACGTTGAACTGTTCGTTGTCAATTCTGATATATAAATAGTTTGAACAACTGATGGAGTATTCACTAAAGAAAAAGAAAATCGATTGAATTTTTTCTAATGGGGAAATAAATGTAAACAATATGAAAAGTTACCTTCTCTCTCAGACACATTTATCGAAAGTGACTAAAAGTGATATGAATCTTAGTCTCTATGAGATTGAATTTATCTATGTTTTCTACTGATGACGAATAAGTGCAGCTGATTATGCATTAAAATACTCTAGATACTCACAAATACGATTGAAACCGATATAGCTTGGACCAGATACTTGAATTGAAAAGTTTCCTCTTAGACTTGGAGAAAATGTTGTCATAACGAAAATGTATTTCATGTTGGCTTGAAGAAAAGCTTTGAGTTGAAATTGACCTCGATTTTCGTAGTCTCCATCATGGATGAGGACATTTTCAAGCCAATTAAATACATTGAAATTATTTCTATAGATGTAACCATACGTGGCATTCATCTCGCTGTTGATTAGAAAAGTATAATAGCCAGTTACAGTGACATTCATTTGTATCGCTTCATAATACGGACCTAATCCTGAACAATCTTGAAAATAAATTGAACTATTCGAAGTCAGTGATGATGAATACATTGATTTGATTAGTAATGAGTTATCTATTGAATGAAAAAAATCAATAAGTATTCTTAGTTTGCTTTTCACTCTGTTTATTAATGAAAGTTGAATCGTTTGTTTTAGAGAAATGCGTTTAACAGTGAAATGAAGAAAACTATGAAATAAAGTATCTATTTAGCGTCCTTACAATAATTATCAATGTTAGCTCTTAAAATTCACATGTTCTTTCTAAGAGACACTGATAATTACAATAAAGAAATGTTATAAAACCTGGTATACACAAATAGATACTGTTCTGGGCTAAGGAAGTCTGATAAATCATAGACTTACAAATTTATGACTTCTGCATTATTATCTTTATCCTCAAACTTTTCTTCTTTTATAAATATAATGCAGAACATTAGCTGTTTTTTTCGACATCACTAAGTAAAACAGTAAACTATCTGATGAAACTATTTCACAAAGTTCTAGTCAATCTACGAGTATGGCTTGATATCATCAAGAAAATGTTGTTTGGAAGTAATATTCAATCTTAACAAATCAAAATATTCTCACATTCGGCCCATTGTTAAAATATTATAAGACCGATTCTTTAATTATTTTTATTCTGATAAAGCGTGTCTCAAATAACCATGTAAAGATGAAACATTTTCCTTCTTCTCTTTGTTATCACTTTACTATGAATACACTAATCTACGTTCAAATCTCACTCCTTTGTGATAATTCTGATTCAATTCTCGTTTGTCAACCAAAATAATTACCGCAAATATAATATAATCGTTTTCGCAGCTCGAGAGTAAAGATAACATTCTGAATTTCTATGATTTCACCAAGAGTTATGATTAACACTCGAGCATAGGGTCATTTCTCTCTGACAGACATTTTATGTCTACGAACTTAAAAGCACATTGAACAACTATGTAAAACGACTTTTTGTTCATTTCAAAGCAATTTATGAAACTTATTTTGTTCTGAAATATGGAATTCGACGGGAGAAATTTTTCTTCACATCGATAATTACTTCGAAGTGTTTTAATTTTGATGAAAATCTTACTTCTCATGAGTGTCTTATTCAATTCGAAATCTATCAGAAGTCCCATTTTCATCTTCATGTTCTATGACAGTTTTTCTTTTTAGTTCTCTGGATAAATATTAATTGAAATAATATTAAAGACTTTATTCGATCATTCTAAACTTACCACATGATTCTTCCAAATATCGAAATTTTTGAATTCGATGATTTGATGAATCCGTAACAAACATGTTTCCAGAATGATCAAAACTAAAACTAAATGGATAATACAATTGATTGGATTGTGAACCCACCCCATAACATCCAACTAAACATCGAAAACCATTCAGGCTTGAACTAATAATGCGATGATTGTAACTATCCACAATGAATATGTACTTCTCAGCATCTAATATGATTCCAGTTGGATAACGAAGTGTAATTGTTGGATTTACTGACACACTTCCAGCTACTGTGATACCATTTGATTCTCCTGACGGAAACAATTGAATACGGTTATTGAAACAATCTGCTACATATAAATCCAAGTTCACATCAACAAAGATTCCACGAGGACCAGCAAGTTGATTCGAGGCTGATCCTCGAATACCAGTTCCCGCAGCAACACGATTTGAAGTCATCACAGCATCATGTAATGATCTTTTCACTACTTGATCATAATCAGGCATTGAACAGTGAAGAGTGTCATGGATATCGACAAACAAACCAACACATGATGAGTTGACATTCATCACTGTAACAAAGGTATTTGTTTCTGCACTCCATTTCTGCACTCGACCATTAATAACACCATCATCAATATAAATATCACCATTCGATGTCACGAAGAGAGATTCGGAGTTTGTAAAATTACCGTAGATGATCTTTGTTGGATTGACACTCTCTTCATGCCACATTATAATTGTGTTGTTTTCTCGATTAGCGGCATAGATTGTGTTATTTGTGTCCACAAAAATTGCACGAGGATCTGAACCAACAATCGATTGATTAGCGATAGTAATTCCATTGGAATTCCAAGTGGCTGTAGGACAAAACTTTGGTTGATTAAATGAAAGTCCTTAAAGAAAAATGTTTTTTAAGCTTATTTTAAAAAAGAAATTAAATTTCAAAAAATATCATATAGTTTTCGGAAAGATTTAATATTTAAAATACTGAGCATGGGCGTGCTTTCTCGTAACCCACACTCTCATGGTGTGTTATTCGTAATGTGGGTGTGAGTGTAGATGGTCCTGGACATGGGTGTGGTGTGGGTGAGTATGAGTGCTGGATAAATTACACTTTCACACCACACACTCATACCTACTGACGCTTACACATTACACACCCACACCCACCCTCAAGATGTCTTCATCTTATTCAACTTACTAGAAGATTCTTTCATCAATAAAAATTTTTGAATTCGATTATTCCATTGATCATTAACAAACATGTTTCCATAACTGTCGAAACTAAAACTAACTGGGCTATTTAATTGACTGGATAGTGAACCCCTCCCATGACATCCAACTAAACATCGAAAACCAGTCACGCCTGAACCAACAATACGACTATTACCATAATCCACAATGAATAAGTACTTCTCAGCATCTAATATGATTCCAGTTGGGCAACGAAGTGTAATTGTCGGATTTAGTGATGTACTTCCAGCTACTGTGATACCATTTGATTCTCCGGACTGAAATAATTGAACTCGATCATTTTGACAATCTGCTACATATAAATCCAAATTCACGTCGACGAAGATTCCGTGAGGATAAGAAAGTTCATTTGAAGCTGATCCTTGGATACCTGTTCCAGCAGCAACACGATTTGAAGTCATCACCGAATCATGTAATGATCTTTTCACTACTTGATCATAATCAGACATTGAGCAGTAAAGAGTATCATTGATATCGACAAATAAATCAACACATGATGTGCTGACATTCATCACTGTAACAAAGGTATTTGTTTCTACTATCCATTTCTGCACTCGACCATTCTCATATCCATCGTCAATATAAATATCACCATTTGATGTTACGAAGAGCGAATTGGATTTTGTAAAATCACCAGAAATGATCTTTGTTGGATACACACTCTCTTCATGCCATATTAGAATTGCGTTATTTTCTCGATTAACGACATAAATTGTATTGTTTGTGTTCACGAAAATGGCGTTAGGATATTCACCAACAATCGATTGATTAGCAAGGGTAATTCCATTAGAATTCCAAATGGGTGTCGGAAGAAACTTCGGTTGATTAAATGAGGATGCTTAAAGAAAAATTTTTTTTTAAATTTATTTTAAAAAAGAAATTTAATTTCAAGAAAGATCATATGGTTTTGGGAAAGATTTAATATTCAAAACACGGACGATCGATGGATGTGTTTTGTGCTAACCCTCATCCTCAACATGGGTTATTCCCAGTGAGTAGTATTCAATAGTCTACACAGATATGATAATTCATCGATCAACTAAGTTTAATGTTATTTCATAATGATTACCTGATATTTGATTGATAATAATCAAAAAACTCAGCACCAGAACATTAACATTAGTCTTTGTTATCATACTGGAAAAACAAATTTTGTTTTATGGTCACAAATAGTAACGAGTGATCAGAGTTTTTATAATTCGCCAGTCAGTCAATATTGTTGTTCGATAAAAACAAGTGAAATTAAATCTTCATTTTTAATCTTCTCCTCCTCACAATCAACAAATATTATATAGACGCAAAGCATATAAAAAACGATATTTTATCATATCGTTTTACACTAGTTCTTAATGAATAAAGAGAAGTATTATTTCATATATACTTCAATTTCAAAAAAATAGATTATCTGAAGTTTAGAATGCATAATTTTCACTGTCTATAGACGATTCTTCAATAATAAATCTTAATAAATGAAATGTTGTACTCATCCATTGTTCATCTATTTACAACCATATTCACCCATACCCTGAAGAGAAGTCCGCTTTATCCCCCTTGAAATATTTACAGAGAAGGACAGAAGGCAAGAATAAGCAAAAGATTAAATGACTGAAATAAATATAAAAAGAAAAGTGATACCTACTAATCAATATGTCAATAATATAAAATGTTTTTTCTTTGCAGAATATCGTCCCATTTTAAATATATAATGGCAAAATACGGGCTGTTGTCATTATTAGTAAATTGTATATACACATTTTTTTCGTTAGACATACGATTAACATCTATCGAGATGTATGATGAATTTACTTATTACTTATCAAATACCTTCTCTTTTGCATAGTTTGTCAATAATAGCTCATATTACTTTTTTGTTGATGACTTTTAATATATTCTTTATTTGACATAAACAGACGATCTCATTACAAAAGTGGCTACTAAGAAATTTATGTTTGATATCAGTGGATAGTAGTAGATGTTTGCTCTTTGACTTCTCACACCCACACCCTTGTCGGTTATCATGATTGTCTCAAATAAAACTTATGTTTATATTATGCTGAATAAGAAATTTTTAATTATGAAAAGAAAAAAGTCATAATAAACAGCAATTTAAAAAACAAAAGATGCGTATATAAATCAAGCAAAAACATAAGAAAAATACCCACAACACACAAACATGTATATTTTTCATAATTCGTCTGAATCCACTGCTTTTATACATTTGTTTTAATATGGAAAGAAAAAGCAATTAGATTTAGTTAATTTTTTCATAGTCATGTTCATTCTATTCCCAAAGTAAACAGAAAAATAAAATATCACAGATTTATGAGATTTTTATTGGTAATAAATCTCGTTGAAGCTCATGATCATCATGTTTTTTACCGAGCCATCGATTACATGGAAAACCAATAGTTTCATTTGTATCCATATTAATAACTTCAACTTTATCGAGAAACCAATCAGGTGATATCATAGCATTATCATGTTCAATATGTAATTTAGTTAATTCACCTAGAATTTAATAAAAACTTTATTTAAAAACAAAATTTTTAAAAATATATCATACCTAAATCTAAACATTCGATAATAAATTCATCAACTTGACCACGTTCAAATAAATTTCGACCTTTTTGTTTTAATCCTCGAATACCAGTATCACCAAGAGTACCATAAAGAATAATTGATACATTTGCATCCGTACCAGCATGTGATACATCACCTGTATGAACAATAATTTTATATTTAATCGTATGACGATGACGTTGTTGTGCAATAGTATCTTCTTTTTTCTCAGCACATTCAAACACATCACCCTCATTATTAATATCAATCCATGTTCGTACAGGAAATTCAAATTTAACGCCCGTAGATGGATCTGTAACAGTTACATGTGCAACATGCCACATAGCTTCACGACCTTCATATGTTTTAAGTGGATATTCAGGTCGTTCTTTATGACCTAAAATAATACGACGTAATTCACCAAGTGATCGACATTCAAATGTAAATGTATCCGTTTGTCCACTAAATAATTTTATAATAAGAAATAATATATATATATATATATTTTAAATACGATTCTTACCCTCGTAAAATTTTATTATGTGGTGTATTTTTCATATGAAATTTTTCTGATCGTTTTTTATTTCCTTCAAGAATAATCCATGCATGTTGAGTTGTACCTGCATTTTGTTTATCTGATGTTGAAATTTCAATTTCATATGGAACTTTTCCTGATGGTGTTAATGATCCTCGTCGACTTGTACTTGGTGAATCATTACTACATACAAGTTCGCGTACAATTTGTCGATCTTCTTTCTTCGATGATAACCATTTATTACATGGAAACGTATAAGTTTCTCCTGTTCGTGTATCATCAATTTGTACATATTCTAAATGCCATGCATTTTTTAACATTGATGAATCATCATGCCATATACGTAGTTTAGTTAATTCACCCAAACTTAGAATATTTTCAAACATAAATACATCTTCATGATTTCGTTCAAATTTATTTTTATGTGTTGATGAATGTTTTAATTCTAATTCTCCACTATCACCATTTGCACCTAGATATTAAAGAGAAAACAAATATATGTATATTCTATGAAAATATTGAAATCTTCTACCTGAAATAACAATAAAAACATTGCAATCACAACTTGCACCAGATATATCAGTTGTTTTTACTGTTACACGATAAGTTGTTTCTTTTAATAATGCTTTGCCACCTTTCGTTAATGGTATATCATGATGAAAATCTGTTTCTTTTGATATCCAATCATTTAAACCAAATAAATATTTTTTTTGTCGTTCATTTTGTTTCGTATGTTTAATAAGTTCAATATTTTGTAAAAACCAACTATGTCGACCTTTTTTACCTTTTGGAAGTATTGTAACACGTAATTTAATTGGTTCACCAACATCATCTAATTCACATTGAAATGGATCAATAGAACCACGTTCAAAATTTCGTTCTTCTTTCCGAATAATATGTTCAGATGATGAACCTGTTGTACCAAATAATTTCAAACTAACATCACAATCACAACCGGCATTTTCCACATCACCTGTATAAAATGTGACTTCATATGGAATCACTATATAAATGAAAAAACAAAAACAATTGTATTTGATTGAAACGAGAAAAATAAGAAAATCTTACAAGGACGAAATGATGATTGATTAGAATCTTGTACTTTAAGTATACGTTTAGTTTTTCCATCGCCCTTTTCTTTTGATAACCATTCATGACAAGCAAAATAAAATGCACGTCCTTTTGTTGGCATTTCAATAGTAATATCATCAAGAAACCAACTATCCGCTAATGTTTCACCATTATGTTCAATTTCAACAACTTCTAAATCTCCAATATCAGGTTCTTGTAAAGAAAATGTTTCAACTTTTCCTGGTTCGAAACGCTGTCGTTGCATTAATTCTAATGGTATGACACCTGTTTGTCGACCTTTACGACCAATTAAACGTATAAATACATTTGCTGATGTTCCAGCATCACGTGCTTCGCCAGTTTTGACTTTAACAGTATAAGGTATACCTTCTTGAGTTGAATTTCGAGATTCTTCTGCTATACTTGACATAATATTTTTTCGTTGAGTTTGACGAAATAGGTCATGTTTACTTCCACTATCATTCGATGCTAAACTAAGTTTTGAACCACCGACAGAACGAGGTATAGATCCCATACTACTCATTGAACCTTGATAATCCTTGTATAGAAATGAAAAATATGTGTAATAATAATGTAAAAGATTAAAAATATAATATTTACTTTTTCATAAAGTGTTCGTTCAAGTTTTGAATCTCCTTTTCCTTTAGCTAACCATTGTTCACAATGAAATACATATGTTCTTATATCATCTATAACTTCAGCTCGATCAAGAAGCCAATCAGGTGATAAACCTTTATTATTATGTCGAATTTTAAGTTTATAAATATTTCCTAAATCTGCAGATTCAATTTTAAATCTATCCATTTGTTTTCTTTCAAATTTATCTCTATGCGTTTCGGAACGTGACAATTCTCGTTCGCCAGTATCACCTTTATCACCATAAACTGTACAAAAAACATCAGCATTAGTTCCACAACCAAATTTATCACCTGTATAAACATCCAATGTATATTGTTTCACTAAAAATCAAAACAAAAGCTTTTTTAGTTAAGCAAAAAAAAGAAAAATCATTTATTTTTGTTTTTACTTTCAAGTCGATCTGCAATTTCTTTTTCTTTTACTTGTAAGTTTCCACTTTTATCAAGTTTTTCTTCAATAACTTTGTCTGGTACAAGTTCACGTACAATTTGTCGATCATCTTCATTTTTTGCAAACCAACGATCACATGGAAATATATATGTTTTAGTTTTTTCTCCTTTAAGTAATCGACGAATTTCTACACGATCCAAATGCCATGCTGCGCCTATAGTTTAAAAATTAGAAAATCAATTTTTCAATTGAATTATGAAATATATTACCAAAACCAGAATTATCATGTCCAATACG